AGGTGTTATTAAAAACCCCCATTTACGGATGAGAAATCAGAGGCCCAAACCCAGCGAATAACGTGTAGAGTCAGAATTTAAAAGCAAGCAGGATAGTCCCGTAGTTCTTCTTAACTAGGACATTATGATGAATCCACAGTGTGATGTGGCTGCAAAGAAGTATTGACGCAAACACATCCAAACACGTGGAGAATTTTTATGAGTTCATTTGAGCCAAACTGACAACATATGCTTCGGGAGAGAATCTCAAATGATCCAGAGAATAACAATTTTGTAGCTTTTTTTTATGCATTTGAAATTAAGGAGGGAATGTAAGGAAGATTACATCCGGTGGGAGAAAGCAAGGCAGGGATAGGATTAGAGGACAGTTAAGATTATATGTTCTCTTGAGGGTTAATATCCCCCTCTAGGAGTATTATTTCCAGCATTTCAAAGGTGTGCTGACCTACATGCATAACAATAATGGACAGAACTGGCATAAAATTTTTCACTGAAGAAGTTACAGGTCTGGGGCATGACTACCCAGCATGACCTGCCCAGGTAGGAGTCAAAGGTCAGATCACTCTGTGAGGTTACCCTCCACAGACCCCCTTTTTTCATTCATACTAGCAAGTCCACTCAATCTTTGTTTTAAAAAGATTTTTAAAATCCTTACCCAAGAATATGTTTATTGATTTTATTTGATTTTTTTTAGGAGTTCATTTATTTTGAGAGAGAGAGAGAAACACCAATGTGTGAGATACACTGATTGGTTATCTGTTGCACGCCCCCAGCTGGGGACCTGGCCCACAACCCAGACATGTGCCCTGACTGGGAATCGAACTGGTGACCTTTCAGGTCACAGGCCAGCACTCACACCATTGAACTACACTCATCAAAGCTGTTTACTGATTTTAGAGAGAGAGGAAGGGGGAGAGAGAGAGAAATACCAATCAGTTGTCTCCCACAGGCACCCTAACCAGGGATCAAAACCAGAACCTAGGTACGTGTCCTGAAACTGCAACTGAACTATGTGCCCTGACCAGGGATCAAACCTGCACCCTTATAGGGTATGGAACGATGCTCCAACCAACTGAGCCACCAGGCTAGGGAGAGTCTGCTCTTAGTCTTAAAGTGCACGCTTTAAAATCTTCTCTACTGGTTAATACCTAATTTTGGGAACCACAATTAATCAAAACAACAAGATTATTGGAAGATAAAGACTGAGAAGGTTATGTCTAGAGAAGAATCAGTAGAATATAAGTATATTCCAATATCTGAAAACAGACATACAGAGGAGAGTACTAGAACAAGTGAAAATATAACTTGTAGTTCAGTAAAAGAAATAATTTTAGTCTATATGCTGCCAAAGTGAGCTTAAAGAAATAATTTTATAAAGATTGGAATCATCCAAAAGTCTTTACCTTAGAAAGTATGAGACTATTAATCTTCTCTCCAGAAAGAAAATATGTAAATACATGTAATTTTGCATTAAATTTGCAAGGGTGCAAAGTCTACTTTTAAATCTACTCATGCTCCACCCCTAGAATCATGTACCCCACAGTAAAATGGAAAAGTAAAGGATAAAGAGACAAATATACTTAATAATCTTTAGCAACTCGCTCGTGAGTTCGCACACATCCACTTGAACGTGTACTTCTGCTTCTTTCTCAGGAGTTGCCCTGCGAGAAACTGCATCCAGGGAGCGCTGGGAGCAGCGGTCTGCCCCAGGCTTAGCCCTGCCCTGGTCCTGTCACCAGGACCCAGGTCCTGGCCTGTCTCTTTTCCTCTTTTACTGAAATAAAACTTGCTCCCAACTCTCAAAATAACACTGTAATAATAATATTCAAAATTTAATGCTTAAAATTCTGTGATCTAAAACTACTCTCAACTCTACACTTTCTAGTTTCTTCTGAGATTTGTTATGATACATATTGCAATAACAGTTTAAATACAACAAAGTCAAAAAAGTCAGGTTTGCCAAGTGACAACATAAACTACGTGTAAATTCAAAATAGTAAAGCTTATTTTTCAAAGTTTAAGAGAAATATGTCTATGTTTAAAGATAAAAAATAAAATGCTAATGTACTATTCAATGTCTAATATTTAGTGCCCAAATTAGAAATTTCCCTCCTCCAGTTTTAAAACTTCATCTTAAATTCTCCCTTTTTACCCAATGTTCCTGGTTAACTGTTAAGGCTGACAGACCAAGAAACAATGGGCTAGAAGTCGGAATACTTAGGTTCTAATTCACTACCTTTGAATTTAATTTTGGCTTAGTCCATCGCCTCGTCATATTCTAAAAACTTTCATATATCTAAAAGGGCTTTAAAATGGTGAGGTGCTATGTAAATATAAATAACTCATGTAATTATCAACAGGGAGTAAAAAAAGCCAGTCTTTTCTATCAAGTTAAAAAAAAGTAAATGTATATTCACATTTCAATCCCTAATTATAAAAAGCAGTCTTTTGACTCCTTAGAGCATATTTTAATGTATAATTTTCATCCACGAATACTTTCCACATTAAGAATAAACATATCTGGTACCCTGGCTGGTGTATGTGGCTCAGTGGACTGAGTGCAGGCCTGTGAACCAAAGGGTCACCGGTGGGATTCCCACTCGGGGGACACGCCCAGGTTGCAGGCCAGGTCCCCAGTAGGGGGTGCACAAGAGGCAACCACACATTGATGTTTCTCTCCCTCCTTCCTCCCTTCCCCAATCTCTAAAAATAAACAAAGAAAATATTTTTTTAAAAAAGACTGCTTTACAATTTTTCAGCATTTATAAAAATAATAAACATATCTGTACAACAGTCAACCTCAAGTTATATTGAGAGGACATAGCTCAGACAATTAAGAATTTTGGCTCCAAAGGAAAAACTTGAAGGTGCCAGTAAACTACGGTTACATAAAAGGAAAGTTACATTACCACAAAAATGGTCATAAAGTATTATCATTGCTCAAAAAATCCATTTCCTCTCTTAAACCACTAGAAATGAAGAGAACTAAAAAGTTAAGAGTGTAATAATCCTTGTGCCTTTATTAACAAGCATAAAACTGCATCCACTGCTGAAGCTGCAACCGTCCCGCCAGAACAGCACTGCAGACGCAGTGCCTGCCCTTCCACTAGACTCCAGATCCAGGCACAAGATGTTCCAACAAATCACAAGCACTGGGAGCCAGCGGACAAGCCTGAGGGAATCCAGGCTCTAGGCATTTGATTCTTCTCTTTGGTGCTACTTCAAAGTGGGCACTACTATCGAAGATTTATTCTAGTCATAGGACAATGATAAGGGTTTAGCTAAATTATAGGCTAACCAATGAAATGGAAAAGCAACATGCACTATCAGATCAACTACATTATTTTATTTTTTAATTATTTTTTTATTGACTATGCTATTACAGTTGTCCCAATCTTTCCCCCTTTGCTTCCCTCCACCCAGCACCCCCCACTCCCTCAGGCCTCCACCCATCCATCCATTGTTCCCTCCACCCATCCACCGTTGTTCATGTGGATGGGACATATGCGTAAGCTCTATGGCTACTCCACTTCCTGTACTGTACTTTACATCCCCATGGCTATCCTGTAACTTACTTATTTGTACTTCTCAATCCTCTCAATTCTTCACCTATTCCCCCACAACCCCTCCCATCTGGTAACCTTCAAAAAGTTCTCCGTATCCATGATTCTATCTCTGTTCTTCTTGTTTGCTTGATACACATGTATTCACATTGTTGATAGATATGTATTTGTTGCCAATTTACTGTTCATATTTTTATCTTCTTTTTCCTAAATAAGTCCCTTTAACATTTCGTACAAAAATGATATGGTGATGGTAAACTCCTTTAGGATGAATTATTTTATATTTAATTTTGAACTGACAGTTCATGATTACATCATGCAGAGAACAGATGAGTAACTTCAACCATATTTATCAAGTGAAGATGATTTCAAGACATTAAGAGAAAAGTGGTCCAGAAAATATTAATTTGAATTGTAGAAGTCAAATGAAAAAATATATATAGTTTGGGGGAGAAGGGGAAAGGAAGAAAATGAGCTACTGACTTACTAAAAAGAGAGCAAATAAGTGGGATAGGGAGTCTGAGCCCTCTGAGATAGAATGAGGAAGAGAAAGGTATTCAAATGCTTAACGAGAGCTTCAGTAGTAAATATGGAAAGGGATGAGCCTGTAAACTGTTTCAAGAGAAAAGAGAAACAATACAAGGAACTCTCAACCAGCATTCATGGTAGTCAACGATAAAAATGCCAAACTGATGCATGGCAGTTAATATGCTGTCAGCTTTGCTCCACATGCATTCCACAGATTTGTCCATTACTCCTCACAACAGCCCAAATGGGCAGATATTATTATTGTACAGATGCAGAAACTGAGACCACACACAATGCAAGGTAACACAGGCTGGCTGAGTGCCCATCCACTTAGCTAAACTGTCTCTCTGTCAGAGCTTATGAAAACCTTTGTATTTTCTATGGAGAGGGGCAATGGCTGTCTGAAATTTCTCACAGGAGTCTAGGCCCAAAAAAGTGAGCCTAGACTTAGAGCAAAGTTCCTTTATGGATGTTAAGAGATTCTTCCAAGAGTTCAAAGCTTTGTAACTCTGAAAAGCACCTATTAGAGACAGATGGAGACGTGTGGATCTTGAAAGGAGGAAAAGACAGAAAACGAGACTTAGAAGACATCCTTCCCCCATAAGGAGATAGGGAGAGTAGAAAGCAGCCTTTCCTCTCCTGCACGAGGTTGACTCAGGGACGTTGCCTCTCCCTAGTATGCAGTGTGTGTGTGTGTGGGGGGGGGGGGGGGGGGGAGGTTTTCCCCCAGGCAATCAAGGGTTACTTGGCCAGGTCTGGAATGATGCATGGTTATAAACAGATATGACTTGGGGTGACAAGGGGGCCGCTGAGGCGCAGGGAGGGAAACCTGCTCAGGAGCAAGCCGGACCGGGTCTAAAGGCCCTCGAAACGAGGGCCGGCGCCCTCCCCCCCCCCCCCAGACCTTACCCCTACAAGGCTGTAGAAGACCAGGGCTGTTCTTCCGAGCCTGGGGCACCCGTGCTTGGCGGCGGCCCGGTCCGGCGGACTCACTCGCGGGGCAGGGGTCGGAGATCCGCGGCCTGTCCAGTCAAGGCCCTGGAGTTCGAGGCCTCAGAATGCCGACTGTGTGCGCGCCTTCAAGGTTGTCCAAAGAGGAAGGGGCAGGGCACGCCCGGCGTGTGGAACTCCTGCAGCCGCCCCAGGAGAAATCGCAAGCGGCTTCGTCCGCCCGCACCCGGCCGAGCTACTGTCCCGCTTCCAGGGCGCGAGCTTTGGCGGCGGTGCAGCAGAGTGAGCACCGATTGGCCCGTGGATGAATAACGTCAGGCGGTTGCCCCTGCGGATTGGCCGGGTCGGCGGTGCGTGCCAGGAGTAAACAAACCCCGCCCCCAGGCTTCCCAAAGAGAGGAGGGGGCTGTGAGGTGAAGGGGCGGGGCCACGAGGTGAGAGGGTATTCTGCCGCCACCCGGGTCTGTGCAGCGGAGGTACCCAGATACCCGAGGAGTCCCCGGCAATGCCCCTGCCAACTGGCTTCCCAGCCGCCTGCAAGGCGGGCTGCAGGCCCGCGGCCTAAAATTTATAGACCAGCCCTCTGCACTCTCCCTTCCCCCAGGCTTGACTTTTCCATCAGCCCCCCCAAACCTAAGGCCCGAAACAAGAAAACCCCGTCTCTTTAGAAAGAGAGTAACTAGGCGGTTACATCTTGGTCCCTAGGCCTTTGAGGTATCTCACCCTGGAAGCAGCTAGAAGCAGAACGGAAACAAGTGGCTGTGAGACTATGTGTGGGGTATCCTGTGATTATTCAGGCAATGGATTAGAGCTCACTGGGGATGTGGGTTCTTGAGCAGGCAAGTAAGATCCAAACTAGGCCAAGTTACCATGTCACATGGAAGCTGACCAGAAAATCGCTACATGTAACCCCAATAGCTGTCCGTTAGTTCAATATTAAAATATGTGTCTACTAATTCTTTACCTCTGTGAAAAATCTTGTGTGAGCTTACATTCTAGTGGAAAGACAATATGCGAAAGAAATATGCAAAATAGAAACTATGATACATCCTGATAGGAAAAAAATGTAAGCAGAGAAGGTGTTTGAGGGATGGCTTGTGTTAAATAGGGTGCTCAGAAAATGTGCAGAAAAGGTGCCATTTAAGTAAATACCTAAAGGAGGTGAGGGAGTCTTAGAAAGCACCTTTGGACCTTTCTCTTGGGGTGGGGCGGAGAGACAATTCCTGTATCATTGTATGTAAATAGTTCCTAGGGGTTCAAGAATGACAAGTGCAGCACTCCTCCACAGATTCTAAAATGATCGATTACATCATCCAGTTAAAAATCAATAGGATTAATCTAGTTTCCACAGAAATGTTGTTAAGGTTTTATGGTAATAAATACTTTTCACGCACTCTAGGGACAAAGATACACAAGTGAGCAAGACAGACAAAACCTTCACCCTCAAGGAACTCAATCTAGCAGGGGAGATGGATTGTCAACCACCTCAGTACAAGTGTAAGCAACTATAATAGAAGTAGACACAGCACTTGAGCCAATAAGAGTAGGGGGGTGAGGGGTGTTATCAAGGAGCTATAACTTTCTCAGAATCTCTTTGTCTATAAAGAAAATTCAGTACGAAATTTTGGAGTAAGGCTATGGCTATCAGGGATTCTCTGACCTCTCATAAGTTTCTAAGGTGAAAGTCTAAAGATAGTATTCAGTTGAACCCTATGAAATTGCTAATACTTGGCAATTTTCATTCGACTCAGCTTATTCTCTTGTAGCGTTAACATGAGGATTTTGCTATGTAATGCATATAAGTGTTCAATAAACAAAGGCAATTATGATAATTTCAAAATTTCTTTTGATAAAATGACTTAAAAGCCAATGTTTTATAACACCTTCCAACAATATGCCCAAAGTAAAATGGGCATTGAAAGTTCCAAATTTTTATTTTGGTCTAGCTGTGTTTGATCTAGATGTTTTCCAGTTTGATCTAGCTGTGAATTTCCATGACCTAATCAGAGCATGCTGTAAAAGACACTAAATGTTAGTTTCACAGCAGGCCAAGAATTTTAGAATAAGAAACAGCTTGGTTTTGAAGTCAAAAACTGAAACTACTCCAGAACAGAATAAATTGTCAAGTTCCTTCAGGGAGGAAAATTTATGTAAATCAATTTTTCATTCCCACTCACAGTTCCAATTTAGCAATTTGCACAATAGTCAGCTTTCTCTCTTCCTTCTTATTTCCCCATTAAGGGATCTTATTTCCTTTGAATAGAAAAAGAAAGCTCCCACCATCTCCAGTGCCAGAGAGTAGATGTTTGAAACATGACAGCACACTTATTGATTCAGCAAACACGTATTGTATGCCAAGAACAGTGCAAGGCATTGGAAATACAAACATAAACGTCCAAAGAACTCTGTTCTTGGGTGGTGTTCTTTGTGCTTGGAACAATCTGCCAGTTCACCCACACCTCACCGACATGTGCTTTCACATAAGCTTAAACAACACTTTCTCCAGAAAAGCATCCTCTGACTCTCCATCGCCAGCTCTTTCCCATTAAATCTTGTTTGCCTTTCTAACATTCATCAAGCTTGTAGTTACTCATTTGGTATTTGTATCCTGTGAGACTGCAAGCTCCTTGAGATCCGGATCTCATCCTGTTCACTATCCTCAGTGCTTATGAGAAGTTCTGTAAGTTTTTACTGAATGGATGAGAGTGCCACAGCCCAGCACAGCTGGAGAGATAGAGGCATAAAGAAAGTCTCTACTTGTAAATGCAAGGGCCTACATAGAGAGGGCCATGAAGCAGATGTGTTGTAGTTAAACCCGAGCGATTTCCACATGCTGTGTCTCTCCTGGGCCCGCATGTTGCTCTCTGTAGGTGAAGCTGTTGGATTCCTGCCCCCGTCAGACTGTAATGTGCACTGCAGTCCAGACTCCTTTCCAACAAGCTCCCAACTGGTGCTGGTGCTGCTTCTCCACAGTTTGAGTAACAAGATCCTTACTAGCACCTTTATTTAATTGCACACTTTGAATTTTTTTTTTACTTTTTAAATTAAATTTGTTGGGGTGACACTAATTAATAAAAGTATATAGGTTTCAAGTGTAAAATTCTATAACACATCACTGGTGTGTTGCATTGTGCATTTCCCACCCAAAGTTAAACCTCTTTCCGCTACCCACTGTGGCTAACGATGAGTCAGTGACCTTTGGAATTCGAGCCTCGGGAGACAAAGCTTATCTCTGATAGCAAATGCTGCCTCAGTTTCCTCCCTACCTCCAAAGCACAGTTATTGACAGGTAAGACCCCTCAGAGGAGGGGCAACCTAGGCCAGACATGATCACTTGGGAGGCCTTCATGGAAGGACTCAGGGGGCTGCAACAAAGAGCAATGGACTCTCGCCCCTGGGCTTTGACATAGCCCGAGTCCCCATGACCCCTGGGAGAAGGACTTCCTGGCTCTAATTCCCTTAAGCCTGAATACCTGTTGGGGAGGAATGCAGCTCCTTGCCTTGCTGGAGCATGTCCTGGGGAAAAATCACAAAGACTTCCTGAAAAACCTGTGAAATCTGCTCTGCTAAGTGTGTTCATTCATATGTTAAGGGTTTGAGCAGGAAGCTCTAAAACTCTTCCTGACAGACTCTGACTCAGACTAAGCCCTTAGATTTCTTTGAAATGTTATTTACTGTTTGATCCTTGTATTCCTGTGTACTACAACCCAATAAAAGCTCTTGGAGGAAGGGGCTCAATGCCTTTTTTCCCCTGAGAAACTGGCCACTACTCAAGGCCTTTTTCCTCTGGGAAACTGGCCACCTCTCCTCCCCAAGCAGATCACATCATGTCTCAGTCATGTTTACTCTCATCCATGGCAGCTGGGGGGACCTGCAAGGAAAGTCACCCCCACAACTAACTATAAGGGAATCTTATTAAAACACAGATTCTGCCCTAGCTGGTATGGCTTAGTGGATTGAGCACTGGCCTGTGAACCAAAAGGCTGTCGGTTTGATTCCCAGTCAGAGGATGTGCCTGGTTTGTGGGCCAGGCCCCCAAATGGGCTTGTGCAAGAGGCAACGGATCAATGTCTCTCTCACACACTGATGTTTCTTCCCCTCTCCTTCTGTCTTCCTTCCCCTCACTCAAAAAAAAAACCAAAAAAAAAAAAACCCCACAGATTCTGATAAAGAAGCTCTGGAATGAGGCCTGAAATACTGCTTTTTTAAAAAGCACTCCAGTGGCAGTGAGGCTACTGGTCCCAACAACATATTTGAGTAGCAAGACTCTTTTTCCTCCCATTGTAGTGAGGGGAGATTGACCTACAATAAAGTAAGCAGACTTAATGTGAAAAAAATGGGTGAGTCTTGACATATGCATATATCTGTGAAATCATCACCACAATCCAGATAACAAATTTATTGAGAGACAACTCTACATGGCTCTCTCATTTCTGTTTGTCTTGCAAGTAGAGGCTCTGAGGCCTTTCTTATAAAATAGAGATAGTGTCTTCCTCCAGAGTAGAAGGCAGTTTTGTTTACCATTCAACATAATGAAAACAATGTCCTCTACAGCAAACATTGGGCAGGTTAACTCGCAGTCCACTACAAAAGACTCAGGATTCCTAAGCTTGAGATTTCTTAGCTGTACCGCAGACTCACTGTGTGCACAGCATCAATCTCATCAACCTGGACTGCTCCGGGTAGGAGTTGAGAGGTGAGGGGGACCACAGCAAGTGTGAAGATCCTAACGTTCGCTATGCCATGAGTAACTGTGTCCTTCATCTCTGGCCTAGGAGTCTTGTATCTTCTGCCAGGGCCCATGGAACTGCGGAAGGCTAACTTGTTAGTTTCCAAGAAGAGTAAACTTTCAGACTTCTGTCAGTTTTCTACAGTGTTTGGTGATGAAGCTGGGATGCTGACGGAGATAGGACTTGCTGAGAGAGACGGGAGAAGGACTGGTTGGACGAAATGAGAATTCCCCAGGATCTGATAGCTAATATTCTTGCTCAAGTGGTGGTGGGGGGAGAAAGGGAATTTAGCAGATGTAATGTATGTGCCTTAAAATCTCCACCTTTAATCTCTAAAGAGATTTTTAAAAATCTAGTTCTATTTATTTAGGAAAAAAGAAAAGATTTATTTATTTTTAGAAAGAGGGAGAGAAACATCAGTGTGTGGTTGCCTCTCATGCACCCCTCAGTGGGATCTGCCTACAACCCAGGCATGTGCCCCAACTGGGAATCGAACTGGTGACCATCTGGTTCACAGGCTGGCACTCGATCCACTG